ATGTCTTAGTTATTTCTTATGTTTGGTTTAGCGTATCTCTACTGGGTTTTGGCTCACCCTATATAGGACATCATTTTCAGGTACATGTGATATGCCGCCTCCAAGGTTGTAACTTGGGAGGTTTAGAAGCTGAAGGCTTATTTTTGTAGTTATCTTTTGTATTACATGTAATTCAAGCCAATGACTTAATATGTTAAGAGTTTTCTTCTTTTGTTGAAACCAAATGTTATTTCATTTTTTCTTCTCTCATTCTCTCTAAGATTTTCCATAAGGCTTGTTCTTGAGTTTCTCTCTCTACACTTTAACTTATCTCTTAAGTTTCATCTAGATCCGTTGGGATTTCCACCCTAGTGCCTTTGAGAAAAAGATAGGGCTTGGTGTGGGTTTCACTTTGATCCGAAAATTTGTGGGTTTGGAGCATCTTGGTTTCACTCTTCTTCTCCTTTGAGTTCCGAAATTTGAGGTAGGGATAATCTACTCATTCTTATGAGTTTTAACATAAATTTTAGTCATTTTGTATAAATGGTGCAATATGAAAATTTTGGAAGGTTAGGGTTTGAGTTTGAAATTTATGAAAGCGGGATTTTCCATTCTTGAGTTTAATATATGTATATAAGACTTGAAATTGGGGTTGTGTGTAGTATATGAGTGAAATTTGGCCTTGGGGGCATTATTTGAGAAAGGGGGGGCTTATGCCCTAATTGGAATCTAATAATTAATTTGTATAATTAAGTTGGGGAAATATGGAAATATGAAATTGAGTTAAAAGCCATGAAATTGAGAAATTATAAGATGGAATGGTGTGGTTGGATTGATTAACCGCTCCCCTTTGAAACTGTTGATAATTTACCTGTTTGATAATTTATTATCTGTTTAGAAATAAAACTGCTTTGGGTTATCGGTGGAGGATAGTCATGATTGTTGTGGACACTGCATGATGATTAGGTGAATTAAAACTAATCAATTGAGTATGTCATTGAATATGACGGATGGAATACACATTGAATATGTGCTTTGCTTGATCATTGTATATGATAAGTGTTTAAATACACAACATCTGTATATTGTTTGGGAGGAGATAGGGAATGGA